GAAAAGTTAGATAATTTTTTGGATCATTCTACTCAAAACTTCCTCAAATCGAAAAACTTATAATTTGACCGACGTGCTGGTAAAAGAAGTTCAAATATTTTGTAATGGAGGAGATAGGGGTCATTATCTTCAAATGGATTATATCTACCTTTTGACAGTTCAGCCTAAAAGTGTTGATACCGAAATATGTTTTTCATCAGTAGGTTTTGTATGTAAAAACTGCAGGTCAAGCTTAGAGGACTCCGTTTTGAATGCTTTGCTGCTCTTGCGAAAACATTTTAAGTGCAATAATAACAACACCGGCAAAAAAGCGGTACGTGTTTTTAACCAGACCCAACTACCAACATGTATTTCGACCCGCTGTATCCGATTCTGAGATCCGTTTGACTCGTACACCCTCAAAATTTCTAGTCAATTGCGCAAAAAAAATGGCAAAAAATTCTCCATTCGCCATTTCTCTATAGAGTAGAATAAACATGTTTAGAGAAATTGTTTTTGTATATTTTTGTTTTATGTTTTTTTTTATTAATCGTCGCTTTCAAAAGTACCTGGTATTTACATTATTATTTGTGATGTATACGTTCCTGAATCACATGGTTTTTTAAATACAATAAAAAAAATTTTACTTTAAAGTTTGTCAGATTTAATAAATATCGCTAGCGTAGAGTGCAAAGTTGCTAAGTCCCAAATTAAAAATTGAACAGGAGAGGAAAAAACTTCGTATAGCCATTTTCTTCAAGTATTTCGCAAAACTTGGAATACAACATTTTGCCTGTTTAAAGCAAAGCAAAACTCCATACGAATCGGAGGGATTCGATATTTATTAAAAGATTTCGAACTTTTTTGGCCTTATCGAATTTTCGGAGCTTTTTTTGGCCTTAGCAAATTTTCCTTTCATTGTATATAAACCAGAAAACATAAAACAAGGACCTTTACCCTTTTCGAAACGACGCAATTTTAATTTATCTAGCCTCCTATAATTATGATTTTTCATTAAAAGTGAAGTTAGCTACTTTTCACTGTAAGCTAGCGATATATGAGTTTTACAATCAGTTTATCGTAAATTTTAAATAGTTTTATTTAATGGTATGTTTAAATGCTTTCAGATATTGAATTTTTACTCATATTCATACAATTGATGACTCAGTTTGAATCCCGGGATCCCGGGATTACCTAAAAAATATCCCGAAATCCCGGGATCCCAATTTTCCTGATATTTTGGCATCCCTAGTATGTACATAGAGCTTTCGCATGGTGTCCAGTATTGCCGCGACATCATGAAAAAATTGATCTTAAAAAAAAGAACTAATGGGTCAAATATATCATGCATTTCTTTTTTAAGTATCAAAGGATCTAGTTAGAAAAAACTAAAAAAATGCTATTTGGTTTCATATCTTTGCTTGTTATTATTGTCAATAACCAAGAAATCATGTATTGCACATTCATACACATACATATATATGTACATGAAGTAAAATATCTTAGATATAGTGAGAGCAACTTGAATACAAATATACTTATGTATTTAAAACTATTAACTGTCGATCATTTACGTTGATTATATATATCATACACTCGTTGGAAATTATGTCGAAAAGATGAAACAACCTTCAGTGTCGGCTTTGTTTTGACTATGAATACGCCCCACTATATTCTCAACAGTTTGTAGTGAAAGTCTATTTCTCTTTTATATTGGATCAATTTTAAAATTGCAGCCGCAGAGCTATGTATGAGGCAAGCAAAGTAGGTAAATTAAAAATGAATGCAGTCAGCTCATTATACATAGTTGGTTTAAAGCATTTTTCGTTTAAAATGTTCTGCATGTAATCTCTTTTAATTGACGACTTGATTTGTATCGGTTAAAGTGCAATCCATACTTATTATTATACCAAAAAAATAGTGATACAAAATTTGTTAGTTGAAAAACTTTGTATGTAAAAAAAAAATACTCAATTTTTTCATAATAACTCCAAATGATAGTTTCGTTGTTTCCTTTAGTTTCATA